TCGTTCGCAGCTCCTGAGCACTGTCGAGCTGCTCGCAGGTACCTCTCAAGTGCTTTCCCCTGGGCAATCCGAAACCGTCCCACGAGCGCGCGGGACGCAGAGATCGATTGGCCTTGAAAGGATAGATGCATCACCTGGTGGTGCGGGGCTTCTCCGCGAGATCGATCAGTGCAGAAAACTGCAGCCAGGAAGTGCAGTATAGAGCTCTTGCCGAAGCTGCTGCGCTGCGCACACAGAGACAGGCGCCAGGCTGCTCGCCGAAAGAACCGTGCATCACCCGGTGGTGACTGGGTCTGGCTTCGATCGCAAAGCAGCAGCACGCGAGGAGGAAGTGAAGTGCATGATTCTGCTCGGAACGGCGCCTCCCGCGCACAACGTCCGAGACCAGGCGGCTCGCCAAGGAAAGGTGCATCACCTGGTGTTGCCTGGGCTTTACATGAATCATAAGACCCGAGCTTCGCAACCCGAAGCTTACTTCACAGAAACCTGTTCGTAACCAAAGCCCCACTTGCTTCACAAAGCAAGCTCCAGGAAAATAGCAAACACCAGAGGTTCAACACCAGCGCGAGCGCGCCGAACTCTACAGAGTTTTCCAAAGAAGCAAGTCTCGGAAAAAGCTTTGGTCCTATGATTCGCCCTGGTCCTCCGTTCGGTTCCTTTTGGACCCAGGGATGCGCCAAGCACCTTTCTCTCTCTCTCTCCTTTCCCTTCGCACTCGTGCCAGAATCTCGGCTGGCAGGCGGCACTGAAAAGCAAGCCCAGCTCTCAAAAAATGTTTCTCAAGAGCTCCACCGAACCCTCAAGCAACATTGAAAGGCTGAGAAACAGATGAACTCACAGGGTCAAAGAACTCTCTTTGGAATGCCTCAAGGTTGCTATCCTTAAAGATTCCCTGCACGGAAGACTCCAGTTTCACCTTTCAGTGGCTGCTGCCGTTCGCGATTCGCCCACTTACGCTCGGTTTCCAATGAGCTCTATTCTTCAGTTTTTCAGGGAACTGAAGCAGGAAAGGTAATGCAGATTCTCGCTCGGCCGCTAGACGGCAGGGGCGCTGGAAAGCGCACCAGGGAAAATCAAACAGGCGGTTCGGGAACGCCACCCCACAGAGCACAGCGACACTCAGCAGTCGTCACCAAGCTTGTGCTTAGCCTCCCGCTTGATGCGCTTCACGTGCGCACGGAACTCGGGCATGACCAGGCTCGAGGCTGCAATGGCGTCCTGAGCGCCAAACTCATTCACCTCCGCGTAGAACGCCTCCACCTCCGAGACGAAGGCATCATAGAACTGACGTATCTTCTCTTGTCTCTTAGTCCTTGGGACAACCGTTTGCCACAGGTAATCTCTCTTTTCTTCCAAGAGAGTCTGCTTGCTTGTAGCTGGCTGTTCGGTGACCTGATCATCGTCACTATCGAACTTCACGGGCACGAATACAGCAGAGGCCGCAGGAGCAGGTGTATCAGGACAAAGCCGAACACCGTGAACTGCATGAGCCTTGCAGGTTCTGCTTAAGACGCTTTCTTCGAGACTCTTCTGGTCCAGAGTTCCATGCTCCACTGAGGTTTAACACACACTTGTCTCTGAACTGATCGCCATAGCTTTGAAACCTAACCCACGGATTCTAGCCCCAAGGGGCTGGGCAGACGCTTTCGGCCTGCTCTAGAAACTCTGAACCAAAAGACCAAGAAGCAGTATCCCAAGCAGAACTCTCCCTAAAAGAACTTCTGCAACAAGGAAGGCGATGAGACTCAATCCGCTCTGCTTGTCGTTCATGAGCGTCGCTTTCGCATCCCCCGCAGCCATGGGGACCTGATCCATGCGCTCAGCCCAGACTCCAGCACAAGTCAAGGAGCCCAGCGTGAGTAGCCAGGTCAAGTCAAGCGTACCACACGCCATAAACCCAAATACACTCGCCCAGTCATTCCAGTGCTCGCGAAGTGTTTGTCCCAATTTGCAGATGGACTTCACACTGGCTTTGATCTTAGCCGAAGAACGATCAGCAGTAGGGTAGTCATGATCGTTCAACACTTCGCAAGCAGATTGAAGATTCAAGGACTCCCATATGGCACTCCACCTAGCCGAGAGCTCCGGGTGGAAAACCTTTGCCGAGGCTCCCTGCACCAACATATCGTTGAAATTCATCAGAGCACCCGACAATTCACTGAGCCCAATGCCAGGTCGGTTGATGAGCTCAGACTTCGTGTAATCAAGATGCGCCGCCAACGCTTCTGGTGACAGAAACCTTTGTGGATGCTGCAACGCTTCCCAGCGAGCCGAGGATGCTCCATCACTCGAAGTCACTGCTTTACCAGGGTATTTGGCAAAGAAATCTTGTCCTCCATGAACAAGCTGATTGATGTAAAGTTTCTTACCAGGTTCATGACGCTTCGCTCCAGCTTTAGCTTTGGCGATCCTGGCCCGAGGGTTAGCCATCTGAATGCCAAGCATGGTGGTAGGCAAGTTTGGTCAAAAAAACCTGCGAAGGGCAAGTTCTGCCTTGAACCACCTGGCTACGGACTCTGAATGCAGATACTGATCGAACCCAGCCTTCCAAGACTATGCCATCCGTTTTCTAGTCTGCTGGGTGCGTGTGGGGCTGATCTGTGTTGGAATGTTTTCTGAACATCCTGAGGTCAGTTCAAAGTTGTTTGCGAAATCCGTTTCACCGAAGAGCGCTTACAGCAAACCTGCTCCTTTCAAAAGCAGAGCCGAGCTCTCCCACACGACAAGCGCGCAGAGCCCCGAGCACATACAACAGGAAAGCTCGAACAGCAGGCAGACCTGCAGGGTCAAAGACCCAAAGATTCTCATATCATGGCTCGGAAAACTCCGGTACCACCTTTGGGGAAGCAGTTGCTGTAGCTACCCTTCTCTTTCACCGCCAACGTCGAGTTCCACACTGACTCTTTGAACGCTCTGATTCTTTAACTTGGAAAACATACATGGATCAGGAATTTGATGATCCATTCTTTGTTACACAAGCTCTGTGAAACTGCCAACGTTCAGTTCCACACTGGCTCAGTTGAACACTCAGATTCCTCTATTTGGAAAAATAAATGAACCGTGAAACTGATGATCCATTCTTTGTTACACAGAGCTCTCTTGAACCGCCCACGTTGAGTTTCAAATTAACTTTGAACCCTCAGATTCCTCTACCAGGAAGAGATGGATCATGATACTGATCATCATTTCTTTGCTACACAAGGCTCGCAGGCTGATGATGGCCCACGTCTCTCATTTGCCAAACTCTCGAACTCCAAACAATAAGCCAGCCAGCAATGCTCTCAAGGCTGGCGAGGAACAAAATGTCTTTCAGACACAGCCCCAATGATCAACAGAGCGTCTCTGGTTCGAAAGCGCGTGAGCGCAGTATAGCCCCAACCAGGCGGACAAAAAGATTCAAAAACAAGTATGCCAGAGTCCAGCGTAGCTCCTTGTGCTTTATGAATAGTCATGGCGTAGCCGTAGTCCAGGTCAAAACCTTTGAGCAGATAATCACGACCATTCCTCGTCATCCACTGGCTCCGCAGATGCAAGCCAATCTGCGTACCAGCAATCTCTGCCAAAACACAATGTGGAGCCACAGCCAGTACTCTCCCTTCTTGGCCATTCGCAATGCCAAGAGCACCATCGTTACGAGTAATGACGATGCGGGTGTTCAGTCGAAGTAGCACCTCGTGAACTTCATCATCTCGCCAGACAGGCACATTGGCCAAGACTAAAGATGGATCAAGTGATACAGCTAAGTTATTGATCAGATTCTGAGCTCTTTGAGTAGCACAGAAAACCATAGCTTGGGGCAAGCGCTGCCACGCAGTAACAAAAGCTTCCACAGATGCGTCAACAGAAAGAACCTGCTCACCCAGCACTTCGTTTACTCTTTCATCTGAAACATAGCCTTCACGAATCTCTGTCTGGAATGCCAAAAACTCTGGATCTGAACAGCGATGCTGCTCTTTCAACTCGTATGCTTTACTCCAGAGTAAATGGCGGGAGTTGCGACAATCACACTCCCGCCAGTTTTCCACAGGAGGTGGTAATTGACAGAAATCTCCTTCAGCAATCAGAATTGGCATTTCATCGCACGAGCGCCAGCAGAAATAGATGCGATCCCACATGGTCTTGGTTACCATGCCCAGTTCACCAATAATCCAGACGCCAAACTGCGATACAAAGGATACGGCATCAGTCGCACAAGCATGCAGGAATGCTTTGTGGACTGTGATGGCTTGCACGCCATCACGGGCTGATCTCAGAGCTACCTTACCAGTTGGAGAGGCAGACAACACAGACAAGCCCAGATGAACCGCAGACTCCACGATGTGCGAGACCACGGTTGTCTTTCCAGTGCCAGGACCTCCAGTAAGCAGGAAAATCCTTCGACAATTAAGCTCGCCCTCGCTCAAGCGGACGAGGCATGTCTCCACTGAAGAAATGAATAAGGCTTGTTCTCCATTTGGATGCGGTAGATGCGCATGACGTGGCAAACTGCGCCTGTAATTGGGAAGCCTGCGCCCAGCAAGTTCTTCAAATATTAGCCATCGTCTACTACGCAATCTTTCAACCAAGGTACTAATGTAATCTGTTCTATGCCCTTCATGTCTCAAAAACTGGTCGATCCACAAGTCGTTGTCCCAAGATTCTCTCTGGAGCAACAAGGCTGCAGTATAGAAGCGAAAGTTCTCAGACACTTTCCAAACTTCCTTGGGCAACAAATCACTGCAGCCACGATGAGGCACATTCATTACCATCCACTGCCAAAAGAAGGCATCAGTAGGGAAGGAATAGTATTCAACTCCCACGGCTGCACCAGTCGCTCCAGCCGTAGCCTTGGCCATGCCATCTCCAGAAGCAAGGCTACCTGTCACAGTATGCACTCGCAGCCATGCCAGGAAAGATAGGTCTTCCAGGTCTGCTGGCCTGCGGCGATACAGGTAGACAGAAACATCAGGATCGTTGTCAAAAGTTGTCGGTCGATAGGTCTTGGTAGTCATGGAACTGAAAGACATGGACTCCCTCGCAAGAGTCATCATCTGTTCTGGGGCGCCAGCTCGCCAAGAACGGCAAATATGCAAAGCTGTCTGCACAGCAGTCGTGGACACGTCGAGGTTTTCATCAGTAATTGCTTCACCATACTTGGAGGCGTAACCAGAAACATAGCGCAAGAGAGCGCCTTCCCCATGCCAAAACTGAACATCCATGTGACAACGCAAGATGCGAAGCAACACGGGCATGCACGGGCGCAGACACTGCTGCAACCATAGACCACAATGCTTCACTCTCAGCACCCAGCGATTCGAAGCAAGATCCCACACGGTCGCTGAGGAAGATTCTGTTGCTGGCGCACGTGATTCTCCATGCCCTCGCAGAACTCGCTGGGCAAGATCTGTCACTTCAGGATCTGCTGAAGGCATGGTTGCACATATGCTCTGATGCGCCAGAAGATCTGGCAATCTCTCTTTATCCAACCACAGAAGCATATGCACGTGAGGGCTTCCACGTCCTTTACCAAATTCTTGTTCTACCCCTTTGTCTTGGAATTCAAATCTCGCAAAATAAGCTTTCGTCCCAGGCACCTTGGGATCAGACTTGTTCGCAAAGACATGGGATCTCCATCTGCCCTGAGCACCTTTACCAGTACCACCAGCCACCAAACCAGCACATACTTGATGCAGCGCGTGCGCTATAGCCAAGGTCTCGGGACCTGGCAAGTCAGTAGGTCCTTTCTTGAGCACGGAATGTGCCTTCCGAATCCACTCAGGGAAAGGAAAAGACCATTCCCAAGGGGCGATAGTCAAGAAAATATCGGGTTCGCCATACTGCTGAACAACGTCTACCAGGACGCGGTGATGCTTTCGCCAGTGGCCAGGGCACCAGTGTCTATTATCATAGAGGCAACTGGCGTCAATGCCTCGAGCCATGCTGATCTGAGATTTGGCTAAAACTTCATGCATTACATAACGATCAAATTGAAACTGCAATAGTTCATAACAAGCTCCAAAATCATATATCTCACTCAATATCTTGGCAGTGAAAGCTGCTTTCATAGAAGCATAGGTTGAACCTGAACGTGATTCTCGAAATGGTTGTTGCCACTCAGCACTGCACTTCAGAGAACTCTCACACCAGGAATCGAAGCAATACAGCCATGGCCAAAGAGCAATCTCCAAAAAGCTTTCCTGGATCGCCAATGGCGGCAAACGGAAATGATCCGTTTCAGTCTGGAGGAAGGCTCGATGGGCAGTTAGCCAACCTCGATAACCCACAGAAGTCCTTTGCAACCACTGGTATGCTGCAGCAGCAGATCCCTGCATCGAAGCAGGAAGTTGAGCAAGACGTGTTTCAACATCGTCTCTGCGCCAGGAGAGACCAGTCAATTGCTCTTTTCTGATACATCCATTCCGGTGCTTCGAAGGATATCCTTGATGCACTTCCAATAGGCGTAAGGCCCGCTGCACCTGAACATCAAGGTTCTTTAACTCAGATGGTACATCCGCCATGCGCGGTACTGCATAAGCTTGTTTTCGCCCTGCGCACGCTTCACAAAGACTGGTCGTAAATTGAGAAGGTAAACCTTCATGGCGGAGCGCAGCGCAAGTCATCCTGCGAGGCTCTACCTTGCCGCAAGATCGACAAACAGACCAGGATTTGAACAACAGCCAATAATACCCATTGCGTTCTAGTCCGCCCCACGTCTCACTTTCAGGATTAACCTTGCCCCAAGTTTGACAGCAAGTCTCGTGTCGAAGGGCACTGGAAGAGACTCCTGCAGGTGCTGGAAGAACAGACCCTCGCATAGTCAATACTTGATTCCACGCATGTCGCCACAAAGGTGGACACCAGTCACCAAAGGATAACACCATCACAGATGAATCTCTGCGTAGTCACAGCTACGAACAAAATAAAGCTTGGTAGTCACTCTTGCAAGTTCTCTCTGAGCCAAAAGGCTACTGAGAAACATGATCCTCTCCTGCTCCGAGACAGTCTGAACATAATCATAATCCTCTCCTGCTCCGAGACGGTCTGAACACAGTCACTCTGCATACCCTCTCCTGCCCCAAGACAGTCTGAACGCATTCACTTTGCGCCAGATTGACGAACAGCTGGTCAATCTCGACCTGCCCCAAATCAACCAAGACGCCTTGCGCGCCTGATTGGGAAGGGACGTGGTCTACTGTAAACGGTTGGAGGCCGAAACCTGAACTTCAACGGTGCACCTTGTCAGTGGTAAACAGATGGTTAAGAGATACTAGAGATGTCCTCAAGGTGATGCTGAGAATCTGTCTGCACAAAGGGTAAAGGTTCTCCCCAACACTTCGAACATCAACGTGCGCTAACCAGTGAACGTAACTCATCTGCGCTTTGGGCAGTGGTAACCAGGCATCGCTCTTCCCTTGGCAGTGATAAACTTGTCTCGTCAAAGTGATGCTGAGCATCTGTCTGCACAAAGTAAAGGTTCTCTGAAGCATTTTGGATATCAACGTGCGCTTAGCGCAGCCAGTG